CCCTTTCACATCCCTTTGAAAAAATGCAACCAACGCGAGGGGGGGTGGGGGGGTGGTCGCGCACAGAGTTAGGGTCTGGCCGCCTTTCCAGTTTCTATTTTCTGTGCCTAAGGAACACCTAATTCCTCAAAGGGTCTGCGTTTCTGGTCATTTAAAAATAACCTGACCACACATACCTTTCAAAGTACAAGGGTAGAGCATGGACCTATGAACCAGGAGGTCACAGTTTGATTCCTGGTCAGGGCACATGCCCGGGTTGCAGGATCCATCTCCAGTGTGGGGCGTGTAGGAGGCAGTTGATCCATGATTCTCTCTCATCATTGATTTCTCTCTCCCCCTCTCCTTTCCTCTCTGAAATCAATAAAATACCTTAAAACAAAACACAAAGCACAAGTGTATTGTCATGCACCCCAGGATTACCTTTTCACTGGGCCAAGTAAGCATCCCCTGAGGGTCTTTCAAATACAGTGGTCTGAAGCATTGCTGCTGCTGGTGAAACAGCACCAGAGATAATCCTTAGGAGCCAACACCATCTTTCCCAGTAAAACTGCCTACAAAATTAATTCTCTATAACTGACTAACTCGGGGCAAAGACCAAGGCCTAATAAGGAAATGGTTTTCTAGCCTTGCTGGTGTGTGCCAGCCCCAAGACTAACACAATTTCTTTCCACTCACTGAATTTGTGACAACCTTCTGGACATCGGGATGAGCTCAATCCATCTTTTCCCTCAGAACTTGAGCAGGCCACCAAATCTCTATAAAATTCAGGTTCTAACCTGTTCCAAGGGACTAGACTTTAATAGTGACAAGGTCCTTTTTCCTGCTCCTAGAATTTGTTCATACTTCCAATTAGATTTTGCCTTTTTGTTGTTGTTAATCCTTAGCTGACGATATTTTTCCTTCTCCTTTGGAAAATGATGTCAACACAAATAGAATGTAAACATTCCGTAGGAATCAAGACAAAAGTTATAAGGGGAGAAAACATGAATAGCTGTGTTTCTTCATTCTTGTATGCCCTGGGAGAACCTATTTTTAAGGGTTCAGGGGAGGATTCTGCCAACAGCTGAGAGGTAACAGGCCATTACTAATGTCTATTTATAGAATCCAGCCAGCCACCATGTCCTGGATCAAGATACACACACTGTCACAAATACAGAATAGGCAGCAACACTCCACAAAGTATTTTTATAATATTTTATTTGATGCTGTCTTAAGCTTTAAAGGAAACATTCATTTGTAGCTTAGAATTCTTAGAGTACAATTAACATTTAGCATTAAGAGTTTATTTTAAGGAAAAGCATTATCACAGATTTTATTAAGTAGACTGTACATAAATGAGAGTGGTAATAAGCCAATAAACAACATCACTTTAAACAAAGTCCAGTTTACAGCAAATTATTTTTTCACAGTACAGAATAAATAAAGAAAACACATTTGGAAAGGTCACAGTATTTAGAATATTATAACAGCAGTTTTAAAAAAACAGCAAGGTGCATCTCAAAGCTTCTGACTCAATCTTGCTTCTAAAGAGATTTCATTACACCATGCAGTGACATGAAGGGGAGGCAATACCAACTGACTGCAGCACTTCCCCCTCTAGGATCAACTGATAACAAAAGCTAAAATCTGATGAGCATTTGCAAGTTGATCCTTGTCAGTCTGCACACCAGCTAACTTGCCCCAGTGACCATGTCTTTATGTATTATCATTTGCCTTTTTATCCTTGAGAAAAATGTATATGTTTGAGCTTATGATTGCTAGTTTCCCTGTCAAATACACAAATGGGTTTAATGTCACATATTGCATTATATTTTCTTGCTAGGACGGAAATACCATCATTTTAAAAAATATTATATGCACAATAATAGACTTATAGAAAGTGAGTTTTTTTAGTATAATAATATGTAACATACCAGAATATTTGAGGATTTGGTTTTCTTATAAAATACAGTATTATAACTTTTTGTGATATGGTAAAATATCTGACAGAATATTCTGCTCTATATTTAGACCTAATTGCTACACATGTCTTTGAAAACGCCTCACAATACCTCTAAAGAAATATCTATAATAATAAAAGCGTAATATGCTAATTAGACCAGACAGCCAAACTACCTTCCAGACATCATTCCGGACGTTCTTCCAGACAAAGCCACAGTGGCGGGGGCTGAGGCAGAGGTGGTTAGGGGTGATCAGGTGCTGAGTAACACTCCCTCCACGTTCGGGTGCCAGATGCTGAGTGATTCCTTCCACGACCCGCGTGGAGTAGGGTTAGGTATCTGAATCATCTGGAGTAGCCCTTAGGGTAAAGAGGTTTTAATGACACACATCCGCAAACAATCTTCAGGAATAGGCAGAATACCCGATTAACCTATCAACAGATCTCCAGGAGCATCCGATTAACAACAATCAACAAAGATCTAATTGAGTGAACTAAGGTGGAGATGCTTCAACCATCACCACTCAAACCAACTGGGTAGTTCACAGTTCTGACCTCCACTAGAACCTCAAAGGTCACCAGCCTTCTCTGGGGGGTCTCTGTCCAAACCCAGCTAGTAAAGACAATGAATGGACTCCGGCATATCCCCCTTATTTTTTCTTTTAAAAAATAATCAAGTCCCAATTTCAATGTCCAAAAGTTCTGAGTCCAAGTTTCAATGAAATGTTGGTTCTGGATGGTGAAAAATACAGGTTCGGTCTTTTCTGGTCTGATCCTGAGCACCTTGCAGTGACGCACAGCTGCTGACTGCTAGCATGGCAAGGCGTCTTCACCATCTCCATCGCTGAACTGTCTCTTCTGTCTTTGTTGCTGGCTTTCTGGGATCCATTATTACAGGAATCCACATGGTCTTGTAGCTGTTCTCTGAAAGTAGACAA